TGTGGGGAAAAAAAGTATTTTTTACTTCAAATATATATATCATATATAATTTTCCTTTTGATCCTATATTGCTATATATCATTTTAAGTATTTGCTTAAATAATTCAGTAATTCCGTGGCGGTAAATCCTACTTGGCTTAACACAAGATTGAAATTTTTTAATCTTTTTTTAATGTGCTTGCATCTTTGTGGTTCAGTTTATTATGTGTCAAAGGTTCATATCAGAATAAGTTATCATAACTAACTTATTCTTCAAATTCAAAGTTTGCCAATGCCTTGCGAAGAAAACTATAAATACTGAATAATTTGCACATTACAACACCAAAAGGAAGGACATTAATTTTATAGTTATTCTCAATCAATGGTCTTGATTCGGAGAAAAATCAATGGGATAATCATTCACTACCTATATTAGATTGAATAATTTGCACTATTCTCTTTTGCTTAGATCAAATTGTTATCTGGCTCACGCAATTGCTATTGCAATGCAAATGTCAGTCGCATGCAACTGTAGTTATTGCAATTATTGCCGCCTACAGCGCAACGGTAGTTACTTGGTTTATTTTCAAAATTTAAAAACATGGAGCTACGGATGTAGTCGTGTGCAAATTTGGGGGATCCTTCAAGAAAATTGTCATTTCAACTTCTAATAGCAATCTCGATCATTCGAGGGGCAAGCGATTAATATCGAGAAAGCCCAAAAAACTGAGATACACAATCAAACAGGGGGCATATGCAGTGACATACTGTGTTCTAGTGTGCAGAAAGCATCACACAACAAGGAAAAACTTTTTTTTTGAGTGGTGGGGTGGGGGAGGGGTGGGGTGGGGGAGGGGGATGATTATGATATAGAAGGATGAACTCTCAAGCCAACATTGACATTGACAAAACTGGAATCCTAAAAACAGTTACAAGAAAATAGATACACAGGCTAAATAAAAAGAAGTTTATGTAGCCATACATGCTAGTATCTCATGCTCCGCATTGGTAATTTTAATAGCATCCAAGTAAGGCAAATAAGAATCTTTGTAGAACTCCGAATAATCTTCTTGATCAAGATTCGCACGGAAGATTATGTTGACACACATTGACATCTTCTAGCTCCTTCATGTTCAAATACGTCATTTGATAAGCCCAATTTACTGTAATGTTGCGCGCACGTGTTGATGGGCTATCCTAAATTAAAGGACTTTTTAAGATACCAGTCTCTTAAACCATAAAATCATAGGCAATTTGATATTAGCCCCTCGAATCTTCATAGTTTGATATTAATCCCCCAAATTACCTTTAGGACTTTTTAGATATTAGTCGCTTATATCTTCAATAATCGTGTATTTGACCCTGCACACTCTTAAAAAAGCCCAAACCCGCTAGAATTCTTCTCCTACGGCTAAAAAAGGACCCTGACCCAAGGTTGAGCTTTAAGGAACCATTTTGCAAGATCATGTATGATGACAGGGACTAATATGCAATTATTAAAGATGTAAGGGACTAACAGCTAGAAGCCTGATCAAACAAAAATAGATACAATTTATTCTACGCAAAATGGACGGAAATCACCCAGAAATCTGACGCATATATTAAAAAAATTAACTACTTCAGTACCCTTTTCATGTGATTTCCCATGGGCATTGTTAGTAAGCTATTTTTTATAAGTGACATCCAACCAAACAAAAGAAAAAGAAAACAACATATTTTCTATAAAGTTAGAAACTTTTTCATACTTTGAACCAAACAAAGAAATAACAAAAAACAAGAAATATGGTACTCTTTTGAGTTCTATAAATTTTTCCTACAAATTTTATAGAAATACAAGGAAATTAAATTTTGAGTACTTTTCTTTTTCCTCTTTTTTATAGAAATTGAACCAATCAGCCCCTAAAAGAAAACATCTAAATTGTAATTGCTTAATTGTTCCTTTTCTTTTTTAGATTTGATTATTATCTTCTAAAAGAAAATGCAGATGCCTTTTTGTGACCAAGCGAAGGATGTGTTGACATTTTGAAAGGAATGATTAAAAAAAAAGATTATTTTTTGTAAGGGACAAGTGCCAAGAACAATATCTTCCCAAACTTATTTACGTTACTTGTCAAAAACAATATCTTCTCAAACTTATTTATTTTCAATGCATTCGTAAAACTTCAGCTAAATTTAATGAGTATCCAAAGTCCAGCGCTAGCAATAATGTCAAGCACCATGACTTACATGTGTATGTTAATTTTGGTTATCTGAATCCATTCTTAATCAATATTAAAATGATGAATAACTATTGACAGTTGCAACTATATATCATAAGTTTCGTCTCGCATATTATGTTCAGAATAGTACAAGACAACTCAAAAAAGGTACTTCCATGTTCAGTCGTATAAATGGCATTATAAACCTTTAGTATGAGTCATTTAGCGTACTCATGTTCTTAAGAAAAGTGAACTATTCAAAAAAAAAAAAAAAAAACGTGAATAGAAGTCAAAAACATTAAAAACGAAGCAACAAGCCAAGGAAAATGTTTCAGGTTAATTTAGAAGAACAATCAAATAAGATAAAAACCCTAAACTAAGACTCACCGGGCAAGCATGGGCATAATACCTGTCCTATTTAATAAAAATATCATACGAAGTTATAGATAACTGTTAATTGTTCTAGAGCTTATCAAATAACACTCTGTAAGGAAATGATTGATTTAGCTAAGATTTAATTCTGACACTATCAAAGTGTTTCAAATTTGACCATAGATAATCGTCCTAGAGCTCATCAAATTTGACTCCATAACAAAATGATAAGCCTAGCTAAGATTTGTATATAACATTATTAAATTATCTCAAATTTGAACAACTAATCTAAGGTTCAAGATTTTGGGTCTCAAATTTATTCACACTTCTACGTTATAACTGATTACCATGCATTATAATAAAGACTTTCGCTTGGACAAAATGACTTTCCATAACCCAAACTCATATCATAAACTATTTCACAAACAAGATATAGTAAAGACACATACAAACCCAAATGAAACTATCAACATAATCTGACCACGCGATGCACGGGCGTGCATACTCACGTGCATCCTACCTAGTAGAGGACAAAAGATGAGTTCTTGGTGAAAAACTCGGCGAAAACCTTTTCAAGAAGGGCATTCTTCTCAATTCTCATGCATGAAGACAAGCTAGTAATTATAAAACTTGTTGTAATAATAGCTACCTCAAATTTGAACATGGAAAGAAAACAAGAGTCTAAATTGCGTGCATCAAAACAATTCTAACATTCCTGGAAATATCAAGGGAAATGAAATTAGTAAAAGAATTTGAGCCTGGTAAAAGATGGTTGGATACCATAAAAGTCCAGAGAAACATGCCTTGAGTTGCTGTATCTGGCTCTTCAATTGGCTAGCTTCGTTGCTAGTCACCGAGCAGGCAATCACAGGTCTTGTAACTCCACAAGCTCGACCAAGTGCTTGCTTGGAAGGGACAAATACATAGGGGACATTCTGGGACAATAAAACATCAAACGCTATTTGAATATAAAAATCCCAAGAAGCTGAAGGAGATTAAGAAAGAAAGCAGAACACAAAAACCAATTTGAAGCATAAATATGTTAAACTCCTTTTCTCGCATATGTATCAATAGCTTTTGCAGTTTAAGACTGATAGGGTCAGCCCTCGAGCCCCAAATTCTAAAAGGTATGTAGGTAGCAAATGGTAAGCTATTTGCATATTTTTATGTGTTATCCTTCAACTATGAGTCTTCTTGTTCCTCTTTCTCTATTTCTCTACTCCGCTGAAATTTTCTTTTATCTTAATAACACTAGCACAGCTTATTTTCTACAATTCTCCGTAATTTTTTCCGAAGATACATGTAAGATGTGTAATAGGACAAAACTGTCCACCGTACAAATGGAATTAAGTTCCAGAAATAATTCTGTCATTGTTAAGGAGGAAAATGTAAAAGCTCATATTCAGGTCTATTGAGTATAGACTACTGAGAATAGTTTCAGAGAATTAACGTCTGCAGACTGCTGAGATTAGTACGACCCTGACTCGTTCAGTGGACATCTGAGGCAAGATCACACCTCTAATGCAGTGGCAGCTAGTTTATGAAATTCATTTCAACAAGCCATATCAAGAAGGCGCATTAACATTTTAGCATGGTCTACAGAATCCATGTCACTATATCCATTTAGAACTTTTGCCTTCAAATTGGCAACATAATTATCGTCAAGTTTTGTCTTCAATTCAACTTCCTATTTTGTTGGATTTAACTTTGTTTCTACAGTTATTTTCAGGGTAACAACTCAATGATTCAGCACCCTGATAATGTAAAAAATAAAAAAAAGGATAGAATCTTCTTAAATCCTTTCAACAAGAATTAACTTTTTGATCCCTGCATTTTGTTTCAAAGAAATAATCAATTGTTCGGTCCTTGCTTTGAACAAGGACAGAGTTTGCTAAAAATATTGGCTAATCAACATTTTCACATGATAAAAGGGCATTTAAGAGTTGAATTGCTTCTCAATACTCCAAATGTGTCAATAATCACATTAACATGCAGAAACCGTACAAGAATCGCTTATACAGAGAACTAAAGTTTCACATATGGCCAAGACTTAAATATAATATGTGCCTAATGTACCCTCACTTTTACAAACTAGAAAGCTGAGGCCTATGGTTTTCTTTCATATTAAATCTTCAAGATAAGAACCATTTCAAAATTATTTTCTCCAATACTCGATAACTTACTTTCACACGCTCTTCAGCCACAATATGATGTAACAAAAGAAATTTACCAAACCAAACTATCACAATAAATATCACCATATAAAAAAAAATTCCCATTCTTTTGCATTAAGATTATACCTTGTCCTCGGCAAGCAAAGGAAGATGTAGAAGGATTTCGAGCGGCTCGGTGTCGGCCGCCATCACAATGAACTCCGATATTCCTCGATTCAGCGTCTTCGTCGCTGCAATTTAAAGAAAATTACAAAAAAAAAAATCAAAACTTTATAATACCCGCGAAACTAAAACTGCCGCAAAACCAAAAAAAGCCATAGGAAATCATTCAACAGAAAAAATAACCTTCATTCGCGCCCTTTTTGAGCTGTTTGTAGTTCGCAGCTTGCTGTACCAAATCCATGATCGTAATTGTTAGCTGAGCATCCGCTAAAGGGTACGCCTTTGGATTCACAGCAACTTCCGTGCCCTAAAAAAACACAAGTTTTTTTTTTCTTTCTCAATAGAGGAATTGTTTAAAGAAGAAGAATAAATAATAATGAAAGGAGGTTGAAGCCCTAGATATTTACCATTGTTGTTGACGAAGAAAGATGAAATAAAGAGGGGGGGAAACGACGGCGGTTTTCTAATTTGTTCTTCGAGAGAAGGGAATCCGCTGTTTACTTATAAACCCTAATTAATCTCACTGGCTCGGGCTGGACTCGACATGGGTGCTCTCGGTAGCCAGACGCGATGTGGCAGCGAGTTTATAATTTGGAGGTGGCAATTTATGACCCGACCCCCTGATTGGATTCGATTCGATCCGATTCGTTATAAATGAAAATGAATTATTTTATATGGGTCGGATCATAAACGGGTATAGATCAACAGGTATGAATCATTTTATATAAGTCGCGTCATAAACAGATCGATCTAAAAAATTCATTTATTAATTGAGTCACAAACGGGTCAACTTGCCAACCCGTTTAACCAATTCATTTTTTAACATTCAAAAATTTTAAAAACACACTCATAAAATAACAATAAACATTACTAAATCTATAAATTACATACAATTTTATGTAAATTTTATATAATTTATAAAAAACACTATTAGAGATTCCAAAATTAAATAACATCCTCAAAAGTTTCAAATTTATCAAATACCATGAAAATATAGAACTTACAAAATAGTACAAAAATCTATAAATTATAAACAACATTATAAACATTTAAAAATTTCCAAAAAAAAAACATCCTAAAAATTTCAAAAATTTACAAAATACACCCTCCAGAAGTTAAATATTTTAAAAATACACCCCCGAAAATATCAAAACCAACAAATAGTACAAAATCTAAAACTTATAAATAGAACCATAAAAAATTTTAAAATTTATAAAAAAACACCCTAATAGTTTCAAAAGTTGCAAATCACACCCTAAATAAGTCAAATTTTACACAAACACGCCCTAGAAAAATCAAAATCTACAAACACTACACAATGTATAACTTATAAATAGCACCATGAAAGTTTTAAAATTTATAAAAAATACCCTGATAGTTTTAAAAGTTACAAAAAATACCCAAAATATGTCAAAATTTTAAAAAATAGAAAATTTGAAACTTACAAATATTAAAAATTTTATAATTTGTAAATTACAAAAACATGCTAAAAGTTTTGAGTTTTGCAAAAAAAACACCCAAAATATTTCAAAAACTTCAAAATACATGTTCAAAGGCCAAATTTTTAAAGAAACGTTCCCACAAGATTTTTAAAATCTCTCAGTTATAAGTAGAACCATGAGATTTTTAAAATTTATAAAAAACACCTAAAAGGTTAAAAATACAAAATACACTGTAGGCACTAAAAAAGTGCTAAGGAATAAAGCAAGGTTGAACCTTGCTACAAGCATGACGAGGCTCATAATCATAATGAACCTCATCTTGGCCAACGAAGTCCATCCGCAGACAGACCTCGTCTAACAGCACTTCACCCCTCAAAAGACGAACTTCATCATTGAAGACGAAGTTCACCCAGAAATAAAGTTCGTCATTAAACATGAAGTTTGTCCAGAAACAAAGTTCATCCAGAAACAAGTTCATCCAGAAACGAAGCTCGTCATTGAAGATGAAGTTCGTGGTTGCCATTGTTAACGAACCTCGTGCGTAGCCGAACCTTGTCTGTCATAATTTTCAGAGACTACATTTAAGAAGGATTAATGACCAATAACTTACCCATTTAAGAAGAGTTAATGACATCATTTAAATAGGAGTTAATGACCACTAACTCCCTCATTATAAGGGGAGTTAAAGCCCATTAACTCACTCCATAATGAAAAGCCTATCTTTCCTCCACTCTCATGGATCTTCATAGATCATCGGCTAATCATTTGCCCTTGGAGCGTCGAAGATCATAACGAGCATGACGAGGGTCATTACAATGATGAACATCGTCTCAAACAACAAAGCTTGTCGTTGGAAACAAGATGTGAAGCTCGTCATTGGAAACGAGGTTTGAATCTCATCATTGGAAATGAGACTTGACATCAAAGACGAAGCTCGTCATTGGAAACGAGGTTCGAAGCTCATCATTAGAAACGAGATTTGAAGCTCATCATTCGATACGAGGTTCGGAGTTCATCATCGGAGGTGAAGTTCGTCAATGAAAACAAAGCTTGTCATTAGATTTAAAGCTCGTCAGTGAAGACGAAGCTCATTATTAAAGAAGCTCATGAGGCTCGCCACGCAGCGAGGCTCGATATCAAAGATGAGGCTCGCCATGCAGTGAGGCTCGATATCAAGGACGAGGTTCGCCAACGCAGTGAAGTTCGTCACCCACATTAAATCAGGCTGTAATGACCACGAAGACCCAGTCAACCACGTGGGCTAGATTCAAGGAGTCAGTTACGTCACGACTCCATAATTTCAGCGCATCAGTTACGCCAATGACTCCACGATTATAGCACGTCGGTTACGTGCTCAAACTCCTATAAACAGCCTTGAGAAACTATTAAGAGGGGACTGGACTTTGGCTTTCGATACTCGGACTTGGAGATCTTTGGCTATCGCGAGAAGAGAAATCAACGTTCGTATTCTCGTTTTCTAACCCATGTCAGAAGCTCTTGTGATCTTGTTCTGATCGTCAACGGGAAGCAATCTCGACTCAAGCATCGAGGAAAGCATCCTTTCGCCACCAAGAACCCACGTTAAATAAGGAGAAGCTGAATTAATCTTCTCTTCCTCTGTAATCGAGAGAGTGTGAGTGATTGTAAGGGTTTCGTACCAAGTGATCCGAACCCATTTTTTAAAGGGAAAAATGCTTCCAGCCCCCAAAACTAATGAAAACAAGCTTCCCCTCCCAAGACTTTTTCAACGTGTGTTTTACCCCAAGTAAACTCTGTGTTCTCTGAGCCCCCAAAACACAAAACCCAAGAAATTAAGATACGTGAAGACCATAATACCCTCCATTGTCACATCCTCCTTCCTCTCCAAACCTAACCACCGCAACCTCCTCTCTTTCTCCTCCTTCCATGGCCTCAAGCTCATCTCCGCCTTCAAAACCCAACCTTTCTCCTCCCTATCATTGTCATCCTCCGCCCCCAAATCTCCACATCCTACGACCTCTCCTCCATCTGCTTCCGCCCATCAAAGAATCCATCGTCTCCCGCGAGATGACCCGCCGCTACATGTCCGACATAATACCTACGCTAACACCGTCGGCGGCGGCGGCGGTGGCGTGGCGGCGAATCCGCGGCCTCTCCTGCGCCTACGAGCTCTCCAAGAACCCCGACATCAACGTCGCCATCATCGAGCAGTCCGTCTCCCCGGCATTGACGATCTGATTTCTTCCTCCATCTAGAGAGCGTCGAGTTTGTACAGAAAGTGAAGCGTATCGCTGACAAATACTGGGATCTCTACTCTCAGGAACGCGATCTCCCTGGACATTTACTTAGCTATCCCATTGGAGTAAGCAGTGAAGGAGTTGTTACAGAGCTCCCAAGGACGGAGTTTTTCCCCGATACAAAGGCTCGTGTTATTTGAACCAAGTCTGATTACATGCCCCCCATCCTCACCACTTAGTAGCATTTGTCTTGTTTCTTTGCTTCAGGTTGTTTTTATTAAATAATAGTGTTATTGTATGTGGGAATAAAAAAGAGTATCTTTGATTGTGGGTTGTAGTTTGTTGTTGGTGTTCTTTGATGGATGCGAATTAATTTATGCGTGGGTGAGGTTTTAGTATTGAGATATGTTTTCCTTTATGGCATAAATAGAATCTATGTTAAGCCTGAAGTTTGATTATTTGTCTCCTATTGTGTTTTTGTTAAGGTTTGTCGTCGGTTGTTAAGATTAGTGGTCGGTTGTTAAGGTTAGCGGATTTGTTGTTAAGGTTACGTGTTTGTTGTTAAGGTTACACGTTGGGATTTATATGTATATATATTTTGGTTGTTAAGATTACACTTTTTGTTGTTAAGGTTACGCGTTTGTTGTCAAGGTTACGGGTTTGTTGTCAAAGGTTAATTTCACAACTAATTAGAATATTCGTTGTTAAGGATAATGATTGGTTGTTAATCGTTACGCATTTGTTGTCAATGTTACGGGTTGTTGTCAAGGTTAATTTCACAACTAATTAGAATATTCGTTGTAAGGATAAGGGTTGGTTGTTAAGGTTACGCGTTTGTTGTCAAGGTTACGGGTTTGTTGTCAAGGTTAATTTCACAACTAATTAGAATATTTTGTTGTTAAGGATAAGGGTTGGTTTTAAGGTTACGCGTTTGTTGTCAATGTTACGGGTTTGTTGTCAAGGTTAATTTCACACTAATTAGAAATATTCGTTGTTAAGAATAATGGTTTGGTTGTTAAGGTTTATGCGTTTGTTGTCAGGTTACTGGGTTGTTGTTAAGGTTAATTTTACAACTAATTAGAATATTCGTTGTTAAGGTTACGCGTTTGTTGTCAAGGTTACGGGTTTGTTGTCAAGGTTACGCGTTTGTTGTTAATGTTACATGTTTATTGTGAAATTAACCTTGACATCAACCCGTAACCTTGACAACCAAACCCGTAACATTAACAACAAACCCGTATCTAAACAACAAACACGTAACCTTGGCAACAAGGCTCTAGGCTCTTAGCAATAAGGTTACCCGTAACCCGGAATAAGTTTGTAGAATATCGTAGCCATCATCAGTTCCATGCAAAAATTTCTAACAATCAACCCGTAACCATAACAAGCAACCCGTAACCTTAACAACCAACCGTAACCTTAACAAGCAACACGTAACCTATAACAAGACGACGCGTAACCTTCACAACCAAACGCGTAAATCACTTGGCTTTTGAAAATCTCATTAAAAGTGAAATATTATTATAATTTCCCTAAAAAATTAAAAGTGAAATATTCATTTTCTAAAAATATATTGTTATATATGTTTCCGAATCTTACAAAAAATCAGTAGAAAAAAGAAAATTACCAACAATTAACTCTTCAAAAAACAAAAAAACAAGATTAAAATCACTAACAGGACCCACTTCTTTCTCCACCTCCTCAATTAACCCTTCAAAAAAATAAAAAAAAAATGTATAAATCACTAACATCGACCCACTTCTTCTTGCCAACCTCCTCAATACCAAAACGAACCGCAGCGAAGCCACGCAAATCACAGCAAGTGCCCCACCACCTAAAAAAAAATCCACGGTTTGAAAAATCCGACGCGAAAAAC